ACGCGGAAGGCCAAGGACAAAATCCATACTTACGTCTGTCCAAGGTTGAGTAGGTATAGGCAAAGGCATATATAACCCCGCATTAGACGCACCACCCTTAGATTCTTGACAAACGCGGCAACGAGAAACAAATCGCTCGACATCACGTCGTAAAGAAGGCCAAAAGTAAGATGTTGTTACCAAATGGAGAGTCCTGTCACGTCCTACATGTCCTTCATTATGGAGCTCGTGGATGATTTGCTGGCGAAGACTGCAAGCAGGAACACAGAGGCGTAACCCGCGAAAAAGAAACCCGTCATGTAAAGTGTACTCATCAGATATCCCTGCTGTGGCTTCTTGAAACAAGCGACCAAAGAAAGCATCTTGAGGGTACAAATCGGCCATGGCTGAGAACCCTGTAACCGATGTATGCATAAGGGTTAGGACAGAGTGACGTCGACTCAAAGCATCGGCGACACGGTTAGTTTTTCCTGACTGATGGCGAATAGAAAAGGTGAACTGTTGCAGGTATGCAATCCACGAGGCGTGACGAGAAGAAACCTTAGACTGGCTATCAAGGTGGCGCAACGCGTCGTGATCCGTAAAAAGAATGAACTCACGATGGACGAGGTAGTGACGCCAATGCTTAATGGCTTGAACCACAGCATAAAACTCAACATCATAAGTGCTATACCTTGCACGCGCGCCTGATAATTTTTCGCTGTAGAACGCAATGGGACGACCATGTTGGCTGAGAACTGCTCCAATTCCTAACTTTGACGCATCACTATGGAGCTCGAAAGTTTCAGAGAAATTAGGCAAGACCAGAATGGGAGCTGTCGTCAGTTTGTCCTTGATAAGCTCAAATGCTTCGGTCGCCTCGGGTGTCCACTCAAACCGACCTTCTTTCATACAGCTGGTGATAGGAGCCATAATCGAACTGAAGTGACTAACAAAACGTCTGTAAAAGGAGGCTAAGCCATGAAAGCTACGAACTTCAGATACTGTCTTCGGAATAGGCCAAGATCGAACCGCTTCTACTTTGGATTTGTCCATTGCTAACCCATTGCCGGAGACAACATATCCCAAAAATAAAACTTCGGGAACGCCAAATTCGCACTTGTGTTTGGCGGCGAAAAGTTGTTCTCTTCGGAGAACATGTAGAACGTCACGTATATGGGACAGATGATCAGCCAAGGAGGAACTGAATATAAGAATGTCATCAAAGTAGACGACAACGAACCGCCCAATAAACGGTCGCAAAGACTGGTTCATGATACGCATAAAGGTGCTCGGAGCATTGGATAAACCAAAGGGCATAACGAGCCATTCAAATAAACCCTCACGAGTTTTGAAAGCGGTTTTCCACTCATCTCCTGGTCTTATACGAATCTGATGGTACCCGCTTTTAAGATCAATTTTTGAAAATATTGTGGCTGACCCGATTTGATCCAATAAATCATCGAGACGAGGTATCGGGAAGCGGTAACGGACTGTGATCTTGTTGATGGCTCTACTATCGACACACATACGCCAGGTGCCATCTTTCTTTGGAATAAGAAGCGCAGGAACCGCACACGGAGATAAACTTTCGCGGATATGTCCCTTAAGGAGTAAGTCTTCAACTTGGCGACGTAATTCTTCATGTTCTGCAGGGCTCATTCTGTAGTGAGGACGATTTGGAAGGGTAGCCCCGGGGACGAGATCAATATTGTGCTGAATGTCCCGCAGAGGTGGTAACGTTGTCGGCAAGTCTTTTGGAAAGACATCGTGAAACTCGTTCAAGACTATGTCGATATCGCTTGGAATTGTGGTTGATAGTTGACGGGAAACTGGAGTAGGAAGCAAGGCGTAGAGTGTTCCTTCTGAATCGAACTCGCTTTTAAATGTCTCATAGGAACAGATAAGTGACGTTTTTGTAACCGCTGGTAATGGTGGTTGAGGAGTGTTTGACACTAACGGTTGTTTGCTGGGAAACGACTCTTTGGATGGGAGAAGAAGGATCTTATGAGAATCCCACAAGAACTGATAAGTATTATCTGCTCCATGATGAACAATCTTTCGATCATATTCCCAAGGCCGTCCGAGTAGCAAGTGACTAATATCCATGGGAGCGACATCAAAGTACATGCGATCCTTATAATAAGGGCCGACAGAAAACGAGACAAGCGCCCGGTGCGTGATACGGATTGACGCACTTTCCGAAAGCCAACCGAGATTATAAGGAGAAGGATGGACTTCACGTGTGATTCCCAATTTAGCAACAGCTTCCTCGGAAATGACGTTTCGAGAACTTCCAGAATCAATCACAAAGGTGCAGATGCGATCTTGGATGGTGCAGGTGGAACGGAAAATATTGGTACGAAGCCATTTATCGTCGTTGTGTTTTGGTGAGAAACAGGAACGCCGAAGAACCAGCAGATGACCCGTGTCCCCACTAGTGCGTTGAACGTTATCGTCGTCAGATTGGTCGTCTTCGTCTTGAGAATCATAAACATCCTCCTTGTCGTGCGTCTCATCAACCAATAAGCCTCGACGGGGTGCGTTAGGGCAACTGGTTTGACGGTGTCCCGGTTCTCCGCAAGTGTAACAACGAAGGGCGCTAGGACGTGAAGAACGTCGCAAGGTCTGTTCTTCCTGTGTGCTTGGTTTGGTCGAAGGGTTGGCGGTGTCGCTAGTTTCTTTCGAAGCTGTTGATGGCGCGTTGTTCCCCGACTGGTCCTTAGTACGATTGGACTGAGAAGACCATGAAGAAGATCGTGACTGGGATTGCTGTTCAAACGAGGATGCGCGTCGATGTGCTTCGCCTATCGTGGATGGATCAAACTGTGCCATTGCTGTTTGGAGATGAGGCCGTAATCCACCAATGAAGCGAGAAACAAGTTGTATCTGACTGTCGTTGATGTCATTCCGAGTAAGCAAAAGAGCAAACTCTTCGGCATATTCATCAACAGTACGACTGCCTTGTCTCAGGTTTTGAAGCCGATTATACATGGTACGTTCGTAGTTGTGAGGTAAGAACGTTTGGCGTAAGTGTTTGGTAAGTTTTTCCCATGATTGGATAGGTTGTTTACCATCGCGGGCACGTGTGGATTTAAGCTGCTTCCACCAAGTTGCCGCGTGACCCCGAAAACGCATTGCTACGAGAGGAACTCGACGAAGGGGTGGTACTTGCTTAAATTCCAGAATTTCCTCAACGGAAATTAGCCAATCAATGAGATCATCACCCTTAAGGCCGCCATGAAACTCCGGTATGTCTACTTTAAAGCTGTTTTCCCATCGATTGTTGTTGTTGTTGTGTTGACGTAAGTCATGAAAATAAACTTGCCGGTGCTCGTCGTCCTCATTGTGCGCTTCTGCATCAGCAAATTGATTATACCCATGATCTCCTGGGTGCTGTCGATACTGTTGGTGTTGTTCCGGAAGTTGTGGCTGAGTGCGGCGTGTTTGTGGAGGTTGCGTCTGATGAATTGGTGGCAGAGGTGGAAGGTGTGGATGTCGTGGATCTACGCGAGTCAGGACCGTGTTGATGTTGGTGTTCATGGAGTCCAAACGAGTTGTTAATGACTCACCCAACTGCTGGATCGATGTCTGCAACGACGTTTGAAAGGATGTTTGCATCTCGACAAGTAGGGCACGCAAATCATTCATATCCAGAGAAGTTCCGTCTGTCGTTTTCTTTGACATGATAACGAGAGAGGACTTTCCAGAAACGTACTGAATCTGATACCAACTGATGGAGAGCGGAAGCTTATAAACCTAACTTGGAGGTGAAGTAACGGGATAAGGGTGCGAATACTCTTCGCAGTGTTCGTTAGAACTCTTGAGGGCGCGAATACTCTTCGCAGTGTTCAATAAGAACTCTTTAGAAAACTGAAATCTTATTAAGTCAATTAGTCGTGATCACAAAGGTTGATCACGTAACCTATTTATATTAGCTATAAAAATCATAAGCAACAAAGGAATTGTAAATCCTTAACCAAATAGGAAAAGAACCTTAAATAAAAAGGAAAGAAAAACCAAAACGAAAAAGGAAATAAGGTGATCATGTCGGTTAGGGAAGAACCGAAGTAACCGTTGGTTGAGCTGCATCACAAGCCAAGATAAAAAACAAAAAAAGATACGAAAACGGCTACTTGTATCCTAAAATAACTTACAGAAGAACGGAACTCACCGATACCAGCCAGAGTACCAGCCAGTATCCAACCGAGCAAGAGTACCAGCCAGTATAGAAACCTGCAAATCCACACTCCATACGGCGAGCTACTTTTATATATTGTTATAAAGTTAAATTTCCAAATGATCACCACATTGTTTGACCTGAATTTGAAATTCTTTCTAAGTAATGTCAAAATTAATTAGATTTATGTTTGTTACCAGATAAATTGTCTAGACTGAAACCTAAGCGGAAGCTTAACACATAGCTAAAATTTTGTTTCAAAGGAAACTCGAACCCCGAAAAAACATTTTAGCATATTCTTAAATCTCACATACTACTTTACCAGAGCCACAGCCATATTACCACTAACTCTTGTCCAGTTTCAACATTTTTAATCTTCCTCCCGCTAGTAATGATCTCATTTGTTCTCGGAGCATATATATCCATCATTAGTTAAATTGTTATCTTCACTTATATATTTACGTAACCACACACTAAAGGACTAAACACATGTAACGGTTTGGATAGTTCAACTTATATATTTACATAACCATGAGAGAATTATTTTGAATTGCTTATTGAACGACAGCGTATTCGTATAAGATGAGAATAATAACGCGTTAGGACCCTATATTATATTTTGTTTTAAAATAAGACCCTATATTATTGACTATCGTCAAATTATATAGTAATATCGGGTTTTAAACATTTTGTCAAGTGAACAAGTGAAAAAACATTCACAATTGTACAAAATACGCTCAGGAAATCTACATCTACACCATGACGTCTTCCAAGGAATCCAAGAGAAGAGTGAGATGTCTTACTTCTTCTGGTCCTTGTGTTCGTTTGATAAAATACATGAGTTATATTATTTGGTAGTGTTTCTTTTAATCAGAAACATAGTTACACAAAACAATCTCACAAAAACTTATAGAGTGTCCTTTTATTTTTCAGAATTTACAGCACTGGAACCCTAAAGCTATTGGTTTTTGTTTCTTAGGAGACAAGTCATCTGGTGTCGGCATCAGGACAGGGCTCCCCATCCACTCAACTCCCAATCTGCATAACATTTTCAATTCAGAGAAATCATTTCCTGAATAATCCAAACAAAAAAACGTAAACCCTTTTTTTGCTGCTATTTAAACTCACATGGGAAATGCAAATGATCCCCTTCCTTCATCCGAGTCATTACTAGATTTATCAGATGCATCAATACCTTCTTCTTCCTCATCCTTCTGCACCAATTAAAAGTAATATAAATAAAAATAGCAAATTCACAAATTTGAAACATAAACAATATCACCAATGTGTAATTAATTAGTCTAATGGAGAAATTCTTAAATTATCTAATAGGTATCATACGTTGAAGTCATGTTAGGGAAGGTCTCCTCCTAGAGGAAAGTGAATTTAAAATGGTTTGGGTCACCTTCTATTCATTCAAAAAAAAAAAAGCTGAAACATCTTAAAAGAAAATATTACCGAATCATGAACACCACAAGAGACATTTTCTGTTTCTTGACATGTAGTCTTATCGGCCTGATCTTGTTCTGTCATTTTAATCACCAGAGAGTTAATCTTCTCTTCTTTGCCTACCCCTTGATCTCCATAAATAAGCTGTATTAAAAGAAAAAGCAATATAAATGCAAAGTTTATGTTAGACATGAAATTTGACACGTTAAAAGAATTTTAAGAAACACTATTGTAATGCACCGGACAACGAACCTTACGATGTACCGTTCTAGGTAACTTTTCAGATGACAACTCTACTTCTTTCCTCTCTTCTTTCTCTTCTTTCACAACGTCGAAACCTCCATCTTCACGGTCGAAGCAGAAGACAATGAAGCCAGGTTCATCTAAGGCCGGTGGCTGCGGCAAGCTCAAACGCCGGTTATGAGACGCGGATGTCGGAGAAACGCTGCTGCTGCTTCTTAGATGATGATGATGATGATGACGTGTACCTGGTGGGCTTAGACTTAGCTTCCTCTCTGATCTCTTCTTCTTGATCTTCCTCTTTGTTCTCTTGAACATTAGATTGTTGTTATTAATTGTGTTACCGTTGTTATTAACTCCATCCTCATCTACATCTGAAAGATACAATTAGTAAAAATGATTTAAACAATATGAAAGTAGAAATTATAGAATAGAGAAGAAGACCTATAGGAATCTTGCAAGCCAAGAAACATGAAGCCCAATCTTTGACTCTCCAAGTGACAAGTTTTGGTATTGTCCATTGTGAAGCCATGGCTGTTTTTTTGTGTGAAAATAGACTCTCTTAGATCTTTTTCACGAGAAAATGGATTTTTTTGTGTGTTTTGGCTTCACCAAGAAAATAAATTTAGAAGGAATAAAGAGGGATTTATTATGAGGGAGAAGAATGATTTGAAATTTGAAAAAAAAATACTGGCGGACAATAAATAGATAGATTGCCATGAATTAGGGAAGGGGGTTACAATGTGTAACACATGAATGCATTTAATACTATTGGAATAAACGGAGATATTTTTTTTGTTTTTGGGAATTTTGATAATTGGGAAATAAATGCTATCATAGTTAATGCTCCATACAGTAGTAGTACACTGCTGAAAGAAATTCAAAAATTTCTACATTTTCTCATTTTAAATCTGTAGATTTGTTTCATTCAATTCCTGTGTGTCAAAAAGACGGCATAACGCATGCAACTGTGGTTACTGGGTAGATAAATGAATGAGTTTTTGAATAAGGTATGTACTTAATTAGATTACTTCTTTGTACGCACTACTACAGGTGCAATGGTTTGCTTCATGAGCATGCAGAAAAATACAACAAAAGTTCGTGAGCCACTTACCTTTGGGTCATATTGGAGATGTAAGTTTGGACTAAAAAATGATGGGCTGAAATGATTGGATTGTTACTAGATATTGAGTTGGACGAGATAGATACCTTGGTTCTGGAAAATTATAATTTTTTGTTTGTAAAGTTGTAGGTAATTAGAAAAGCTCTTTTCGCGAGAATTTTAACAAAGAGCATAAAGTTTGTATCAATTATGTTTCATGCTTTTAGAAGCATTAGCCTGAAACTTGGAAAGAACTATGCAACTGAAAATGCTTTTTTACCATTTAACTTGTAATTTACATTTCATTAATGTTATTCCACTAATTTACATTTCATTAATTCATGTTAAATCTGTTTTTTTTCTACTCAATTGTCGAATGCAAACGTTTTTTTCTATCAAAAGACTACTGCACATGCTTTTTTATGACAAGATAAATGCACATGTTAACTATTGGTTAATCGTAAAGTGATTTTGTATTTGTTTCCTTTTGTATATATGTTTTAAGTACAATTTATTCATCATATTTTGTGTTTTTATTTGTAAATAAATAATTATGTAGTACAGGCTAATAGTTTTTAAAAACTGTTATGAAAATAAAATGTTCCTCTCTATTGTTAGTTACATCAGCACTTTATAGATTGATACACCAAGAAGATGACTGGTTGTTTCTGTAATGGTTATTCACAGCAATAACTATATCTACGGTTCTAAATCTACATCAATTATGTTTTATTAGTTTTGATAGATTTATAACTTTGATATTTATGTGTATACTGTAGAAAGCTAAATTCTAAAACTAATTTTATGTGCTTTCCGAAACTTTAATTCCAGAGTAACAGCAACAAAATTTAAAGCCTTAATTCTAGAGTAAATTTTTAAAAGCTAGAGCATTACCATTCAGGTCCATATATATATATATATATATAAACTTTATCAATCATGTGAGCTTTTTAAGAATTCCCACTTTCTCTTTTAACGTCGAAAATAGTGATAGATAAGTCATGAAACTTGAACTCATGCAATTTGCTGAACACGCACGGATTTCACCGGAGAAATCAAAACTGTAAATTATAATATCCAAATTTGACATCTGTTACATGATATAATGTATGTAAATTATAATTTAATGCCTCATATATCTTCTAATTTCCACCACAAGCAATATAATATGAAAGTTAGAAAAAAAAAACAACAAAGTTAGCAACAAAAAAAGAGTTAAAAACAATATATATATATATATATACATTTGTTACTTTTATTTCATTTTCTTGTTGAGAAAGTTTTATTTCATTTTCTCTTGAAATTTGTAATGACGTATCATGGAATCCGTTAAATTATTAGTTTTACAACTTACAAAATTATAAATTAAATTTGCAGAAAATAGGGTATGGTTCTCTTCACTAGTTATGTGCAAAGAGCTATATCATCAGTAATGCTGATCTTCATTTGGAATAGATTCTCCTACAAGAGAAGTTCGTTTTTTCAGGGATTAACTATGCAGAAATGTAATACAAGAGTCACTTTGTGCTGGAGATTTAGGATTTAGAAGCATTTTAACTGTTATAAAAATCCTCAGTATACTCAGAATTTTGGGTTTACAACTTTATAAAAGTGATACGTGGTGAATTCCACTTGATAAGAAGTCATACATGTGTTTGCTTAATGTGAATGATCTTTTACCTTCTTGTTTTATGCTCACTAAATTGAGATATCAAGATAAAAATCGTTCAAATATATTTATTTATAATATGGCTCTGCAGAATTTTGTCTTTGTCAAAATTTAAGATGGATGTAACTTCTCTTAAATATGTCTTAAAAGTAGGTAAACAGAAATTTTGATTCAACTAATTTAAAAAGCGAGATTTGTGATATACTGCATATATATATATATATATATATATATATCATGATAATCAGTCTATATTGGGTTTTATATAAAAAACCTATTATGATATATTTTTCTTAGTAATGTGTTAGTATTTTGCTTCCTAATATTAGTTTTGTCTTATTGATCACTCGAATTGAACTGGGGACCTCTGACAAGTCCTTGCCAATGTTAGATTAAATAAATGGTTTTGTTAATTAGCCTCATTTAGCTGGTACATTTTTAAACTACTAAAGATTTTGTTCTGACTGGACCACATTCTCAATAATATGAGATGCATAAGGTTCAGGTAAGAGGGGGCCACAGCAAAGCACATGATTCACGACCACAGCTGGTTTGGGCAATTATGTTATTAGGGAAAGTTATTAAAAAGTAAAACTATGAGTCTGGTCTCTTAATTTCACTTACATGAGAACTTGAATTCTATATTTTGATCATAACTAGCTAATTACTAGAAAACTACTCTTTACACTATATTTCTTTCATTTATCCGTTTTATCATTACTATATATTATCCAAACTATATCTGGTGTAATACGGTTAGATTCTTTAATCAACACCAATATATAGACATATGTTACATGATATATGTATTAATCATACTGATTCAATATACAAGAATTTAAACTGGAAAATAGAGTAGATACATCATACATATCGGAGATCAAAGATATTGTACAGCCCAAATAACTCTAAATGTGTGGATGAAGTTTTAATCTTTTCAAGCTTATATTCGACAACAATGTGAGTTGATCAACTTTAGATTGTTGTACTGTGCAATAGGTTTACAGCATCCCAACTCAACTCCAATTTTTATTCTAAAATAAAATAAAAAGGAGTATAGAATAACAAATACTCCAATTTTACTGTTTTTTACTCTATTGAAAATTTATTACATAAATAAAGTAATCTATTTTTCATTTGTTTATCACTTCATTATTAAATAAAAAATACAAAATTAGAATGTTTTTATTTTATTTCATTTTGAAATAAAAATAGAATTTTATATTAGAGATGTTCTTATTCATCTGTAATAGTAAACCTTTTTCTCAGAAAAAGAGTTTATTCATCTTATTGCATCGGGAATTAGCAGCAAGCCAACTCAGACCACATGAAATCTTCACGGTGGTCTTTTATTTTGTAGTATACTATTTTCCTTGTTGTTTGCATATGTTATATTCTAATAACACTGCTTCAATATACTATTTTGTATTTCGAAATATTAACTCATAAATGATTTTTTCAATAAAATTCGTTTAAAAACAAACTGTAGGCCGTTGTAAGTAAATATTTTTGCACTCAAAACGTAGGTTTTGAAAACATAAGTATTTGTTTTTGAAAATTTCTTATATATCATTATCAAATCCAGTTTCATTTTTTTTGAATAACATGGTTTAAGTAAAATATGATATTTACATTTTTAGTTATATAGATTTACAGTTTGACAAATTCTTGAAATAGGATAATATGTAACTCACACATATATTGCTATTAAAATTCTTTGAATCAAATCATCAAATTTAAGTTATGTGCAATGAATAAGACATGTGAGCTAAAATTTAGCATATTTCTAAATTAATGAATAGAATTAATATAATAAAAGTTCTCACTGATTGCATGAATGAATTGCATAGTATAGTTGTACACCTTTATTGACCATTATACCTCCAAGAAATCAATACAAATTTTTACCCAAATCTCAATGTTCCTTTTCTCTGAAGAAACAAGACAATACGGACAGGAGAATCAGAACAGTATCATCAGTATGCAACTCCGTGTGACCACGATGTCTGACAGATGCTCGACCCATCCAATTTTATATTACACATTGCACTGCACTACGATGACTCAGTGGACTATGTAAAGTAGTATAAAAATAAACGTGTGATTCCGGCCATTGAAATATAATTTTTATTTCTTTTGCGTCAACTAAGTCTTAATCATACGCTGTACGTCTCTTTCGCTCTCTCTTTTACTTCTACTATATAAGAGCATCTCTGCATACTATAATCGGTACGAGAGAGAGAGTAAAAGTAAAACGGTTGTTCTTGTTTTAGAAATTCGATATATAATGATAACACGTTCTCGTGTTCCTCGTCAAAAGAGTGTCTCAGTTAGTACAATCTTCAGGTGTCTTTTGGTTTTGATCAAACGATCTATTAAATTCTCTTAGCCAACCTTTTCAATCTCTTTTCTTCTAATTCTACTCAAGAAAACAGTGTGTTAAAAAGTACTTCTTCCCTTGATAGGTTTCACTTAGTTTTTTTATAATAATAAATAAAATCAAGAATCAGAGATGGTGAGAACACCATGTTGCAAAGAAGAAGGAATCAAGAAAGGAGCCTGGACTCCTGAAGAAGATCAAAAGCTTATTGCTTATATTCAACGACATGGTGAAGGTGGATGGCGTACTCTCCCGGAAAAAGCTGGTAAAGTATTAAAAATTTATATAATTAATTATCATATGTTGGTCTCTTAATTACATATGTACATGTTAATTACAATGTGTGTTTATAGGGTTGAAGAGATGTGGGAAGAGTTGTAGACTGAGATGGGCTAATTATCTAAGACCCGATATCAAGAGAGGAGAGTTTACTCCTGAAGAAGACGACACTATAATCAAACTTCATGCTCTTAAGGGTAACAAGTAAGAACTTCTTACCTCTTGTATTAAATAATTAGTAATTCAGAAACTATATGTTATAATAAGTATTTAATATATTTATTTATTGTGTTGATTATTGAAGGTGGGCGGCAATAGCAACTCACTTGGCTGGACGAACTGACAATGAGATTAAAAACTATTGGAACACAAATCTTAAAAAGCGTTTAAAACAAAAAGGTCTTGATCCAACCACTCACCAACCGATAGATTCAACCGACCAAACCGGTTTCGGACAAGAAAAACCTAAACTCACTTCATCCAGTTCAGCAAGGCTTCTTAACCGTGTCGCAAGCAAATACGCGGTCGACCTAAACCGGGATTTACTAACCGGGATCATCATAGGAAACTCCACAATCATTGCCGAAGATTCACAAAACTCTGGCCATGTCTACTCCCCGACTGAAAACTCGACCAACACAGCGCCAAACTCAAGATCTCTCTCATCGGTTCTGATGAACAATACGTCGACATTTTCCGGTTTATCCGACAAGTGTTCTTTCTCTGAACTCTTTAGCAACGAAGAGATATCCGACATGTATATGAATGTCGATAATGTTGGTCTTATGGAAGAGTTAAAGGGTATGTTAAGCTACGACAATGTCAGCGCAGGAGATATTAAGGACTCGCCGGATGTTAACGTAGCTGATGAGATGGAGATTCTTGATTCTTGGAACGTAGAAGATGATCTTGATTTGGAGAAGTTTGTGAGTTCGTTAGATTCCAAGATTGGTGTCTTTGTTTGATGAGTCAAGAGCAAAATCAATTGCAAGTTGGTTTTTCTCTTTGATCGATATCAGTGATGGTTTGATGTACGTGACAGGAATAATGAGATGTTGTAATAAGTTTTTTTTTGGTTAACATAACTGCTGTAATAAGTTTTTTTTTTTGAATAAAAATTTGAAAATGAAATAATTAGTTCTCGTAATTAATCGGAACTCTTTTGCAAATTCCTGTTTTTTTAATATACTAAAGATTTTTTTTTGAAAATTCTTACTAGTGTTTATGACATGCGAATAATTAAATTAACAGATCCCTAACTCAAATGCTTCTCTATTATCATAAATTTCTAAAAAAAGATTTTATAGCTTTGTTTATGATAACTTATTAGATAAAAAAATATGTAGGTGACATAGTGGTTGACACTTGACAGTGCCGCATGAGGCCTGGGATATTCAAACTCCCTCATACATTTTAATAGTATTGATTTTGTTTGTTTCAAATACGCCAAAGAAAAAAATATTTATTTTTATTTTTATGTTTTGTCGTAATGTCTGAAATAAAATATTTATTCAGTTGATTTCAAATAAAGTATATATATTTCACCAGAGGATATCTTTTCATTCGATTCTGATAACATATTTCTATTTTAAAAATGTTGTGCTTAATTTTTAAATTACCTATTTATTTGTAGATAATATATGTGTTTATCTTTCTGTTATTCGACTATCCATCATATTTTTTTTAACAATTTATTTTAATTTTTCTTTTATATTTATTGTGTATAAGTTTTTATAGTCGCTCATTCTTACTACTGGATCGGCATCAATTTAGAAGTAACAGATACTGACATACTGTGAATTGATTAGGGAGGAAACTAGAATAGAACACGATTAATATAACAATATATTTGACATCCTATTGACCATCATTTTCACCAAAAGAAAAAAATTTAACTCCAATTATTTTTTTTGAAACTATACTCCAATTATTCAGGATAGACTTTTTCCATGGATAACGAGAATGAGAAATAGGGCATGTTAATTCGCTCGGTACTTGCTTCTTTTCAGCTACCGATACCTCAAACAACATAAGAACCCTATCCATCATGCATGGAACAAAAAAAAAATTGCATGGCCATATCAGTTCTTTCATTTGTTTAATTAATTAAAATGTCGGGATATATAGATCAAATTTATAATTTAATTTTCATAAACACGCATATCTTTCATAAATAACGTACATTCTGCATTTTAAATTGGGATGATAACAGTACTAATAAAAATTACAAGGATACATATTTTGCTATATCATGGATAATTTCTCAGTTATAATATTTGAAGCCACTAAACCCAATATGTTCGGTATATCGGCGTTTGGCAGTGATTAGATAGACGTTATGATCTGCTAGAATGAATTAAACGTTTGAATAATTGGTCAGACACTGATTAATGTATATGCTTTGAAATTCAATTGGCTAATTAAGTACCCACATATAAGAAAAAAAAAGGGTCCGAGTTTAAGCGTTTAAAATACTTGTTATAAATACCGTCTGATCAGCTTAAACGTTAATTCTCAAACAGTAACATATGTTAACAAATCTACGTATAGGCCGATGCAGATGTTTCATGTCTCACAGATATTAAAGTTTTCTATATGTACAGCTTAAGTTATATATATATATATCCTCTAAATGCTACTATGCATAAGATTATGATTCTCGAGTGCTGTGTTATGCACATACTCGTATGAATGAGTATTGTGCCGTTATAAACTAACTATATATGTAAATATCTACAAAGATTACGGGTTCACGTGAATCTGCCCACAGAAAAAAGCAGTGGTAGTAGACGACCACGTTATCTTTGTCATAATTGAAATATTATATACGGAAAGGAGGATTCGCGTTTTCGGGAATATGGCAGTCTAGCGAGAGAATAATAATAAAATTGCAGCATTTCATTATTGATCTGAATAAGACAGATTACATTACAGAACATTTGCGTTTCCAACTACCAATATTTTATTAATTTAAGAGCTTAATGAACGTAATGTTACTGATTGATATCTAAATCTGGAATTTATGTATCAGTGATCTATGATAAAATTTGAAATGTTACATTTTTCATCAACGATAACTCAAACTATAAGATTTGTCACACCACATCAACCAATCACACAATAACAAAACGATAAATACATAGCTGTCAGTGTTGCTAGTCGCATTTATAAATCGCAATTGCCAACAACAATAAAATCATAGTTTATATGGTTTAACTCTCAACCCATCTTTGAACTAATTCTGCATAGTTATATATATATATATATATATATAATCTTAGAGAAATTAGGGTAGATATCCTCTTTTTAGAAACAAGGGTAAAGTAGATAACTTCTTTCTATAGTCTATTTTTTCCCTACCAACTCTTTGTATTTCATGTTTAGGCTATATATCATCATCAAATCAAATCTGGACTATATTATTCTTAAATAAGCTATTATTTTATTTAATGATCTTTTTACGCTTTTTTCATATTTGTCTTCTTCTTATGCATGAATCTTTATCGTATTCTCTTCTCACCACCATTGTCACGGTGTCACTATTTTTAATAATTCTCACGATGAACCATACTTTTTTTTTTATAAGAATGTAAATAAATCATTAGCAAAAGCAATGAACGTTTGATTACACGATACCCAATACTTACAATCACTTTTTAACGCATGAGTTTTTGCTAACCTAAAATATTGATGTAAACAAAAATATTAATTACTCAAAAAAAAAATCATAAGATACTAGGGATCTCCATTACAGTTTCTGAGTTAAGGCATCCGCTCCACAATTTTATTCGCAAGTAGAATCATCAAAATGCGTTTTCATTACATAATACATTAATTAAAGACCGATCAATTGTTATTTTTATGTATATAATTAAAAAGAATGTTTGATAGAACAATCTATTAGAGTAATAAATTAGACCTAGTAATTAATTATAAATATGTGAAAATTCTTTTAATACTCTCATTTATGTGTACCAATAGTTTACAAAACAAATTCGATTATTCTTTTGATAAAGCCAAAACATACCGCTATTGGCATCTCAATCATTTGATTCTGGACCTGATTGTACATCCTATAGTTTCATGCCTCTCGACTTGCATAGGTGTAATTAAAGTCTTCGTTCTTATTTTGTATAATTATTAAATTTAAGTATGTTTAATTATAAATGACACAAAGTAGTGATTTGAATATGTATAGGACTCGTGTACTCTTGCATTCTTATAGTTTATTTCTAAACGACAATGGGATTTGGTATACATAAGATGATTTCAGTTATGCTTTCACAATGAAAAGCATATATTCCTCAAATCTATTTGTAAAACCTGCAACTGATATCAGTATGTTGTTTTGATTTTAGATTTCCATTTTCTTCAAAAAAAATTTAGAATCATCATCTCTAAGTAACTATATATCTTTGGTGATGAAAATTTCTAAAATCGCATTAAAAATCATACAATCACAAGCCTAACAATAAACTCACACATTTGTTGTTTAGCTGTAAAATTAAGCTTTTATATTTTTGCGATAAAACCATAATTTTAATACACAATCTTGAAATCAAAACTATGTTATGTAATTATGATCAGATAACCATTTTCTAATAAGAATCTGACAAAATAAACTATGTTCAAACTTTTTTTTAGTTATTATTTTTATGGAAGTTCCAGATTTTAAACTCATAATCTTTTATAGACACGAAGTCAGCTTTTGAACATTTCGATTTAAAAAATCATCTCGTACTAAGAATAGCAATATATGTGAGTTCTCCGATAAATGTTAACTATACTATTAAATATTTTTAGTGTTGTTTAAAAATATTTAACCACATTCTAAAGTTATATATATGTATACTAAATTTATTTATATGGTACACGGATATCATTTCTAGTTTTTCCTTAAGTAATTTATTTAAATTTCATATACCATCTAATAAATATATTAACCACTACCATAATTTTATTTTCTGGAGAAATGAAATCACCTAATGTCTCAAATCTTTAATCTCCATATAATGTGTGTGCATGATGTAGCTATGCATTAAAACAAAATATTATATTTTATAATTTATCTTAAAATATGTAAGTTAACCCTTACAAAAAGAGCGAGTTTTCAATAAATGTTGTATATACTAAATTTTAACCTTTTTAGTTTTTTTTTTTAAAATACCTAAACACATTCAAGATTTATATTAATGTATTAAACTTATGGTCATGGTACATGGATATCAGTTCTAGAGAAACTTGAACAACTAAAGTATCCAAACTCTTTGATATTTATGATATATCAGTGCTGGATACAACTATTCAAAAATACAAAATTTCATACTCCCTCTGTTCCTAAAAGATCCAAATTTTAGTTTTTCACACATTTTAATAATACACAATAAATTTGCATAGTTTTTTGTATTTATCTTTTTTCCATAATATTAAACCAATCAAAAATCAATTAGTGCAATTAAGTTTTTTGAAGTTTACAATTATTTAATAAAACATACATTGAAAATGTAAAAAAATGGACTTTTAGAAACAATTTTTTCTTCTAGAATATGTATCTTTAAGGAACGGAATGAGTATTTTCTAATTTATTTGAAATTTGTGGGTTAACCCCTACAAAAATATTGAGTTTTTCCGTTAAATGCTATTTATATTTAATTTTAGCTGATTTAGTGTTGCTTAAAAATATCTATCCACATTAAAAATTTATAATAATGTATGCTAAATTTATTTTCATGGTACATGGACATGAGCTATAATTTTCTAACGATTAATTAAATAAATATTTATATACCACCTAAACAAAAGAACTAAACTATATGAAAACTCTATATTCTAGAGAAAGTGAGACAACAAAGGTGTCAGTCATCTTTGATCTTCATCTTATATATGTGATGGATGCATCTATGCATTATAAAAATATTATATTTTATAATTTTTTTTTGAAATCTGTTGGTTAATCTCTACAAAAAGATCAAGTTTTTACGATAAATGCTTTATACTAAAGTTTAGGCTATTTCTTGTTGATTAAAAAATACCTAATCACATTATACATTTATATTAATGTATGTTAAACTTATTTTCTTGATACATGTACATCGTTTCTAATATTTTAATGAGTAATTTAATAAAACTTCATATTCTACCTAATTCAGTGGAGTAACCTCTCCTAAAATCTGTATTTTCTAAAGAAAAAGAGACAACTAAGATTCCAGATCTTTTTAATTTTCTTCACATGTCAGTGCATGATGAAGCTATGCATTAAATAAAATACCATATTTTATAATCTGTCTTACGAAAAAATGAGTTTTTTTCCAGTAAATGCTACTAAAGTTTAACCTAATTAATTTTGTTTTAAAAATACCTAACCACACTCTAAATCTATACTAATATATTCTTTAGGATTGTTTAAAAATATCTATCCACATTAAAAACTATAATAATATAATGATACATGGGCATGAGTTATAATTTTCCAAGGAGTAATTAAATAAAATTTTATACACCACCTAACCAAAAGAACTAAACCTATATAGAGTGTGGTTATGTATTTTTCAAGAATACTAAAGAGACCGAAGTATATATAACATTTATTAGAAAATTCAAATATTTTGGTAGTACATGTCAAGAAGTAACACTTATCGATTTAAATACCATCTCGTGCTAAGAATACTCTGATGTGTTCTTTGAAAAAATTCATGTTCAAACTTGTCATGATGATGTTCTCTTTAAAATTCTCGCCTTCCATTACATAGATAAACATGTAACTTTTAAAAATTAGAATTATAGATTGGACAACAAATCCTGAAGTTCTAGAATATCAAGATCCTGATCCAAGTTTACCAGTACTTGGTACCCGTTTAAGAACCTTAATGAATGTATCGCTGTCACCATTCTCATCTCTAATGCCATAAGACAATGGAAACTTCTTCTTCCAACATAACCTATCTCTTCCAAGAACCACTGCTCCACAAAAACAGTCCTTGAGACAAGTTTCTTTACACCTTTCTTCATCATAGTTTGAGTACCTCTTGTAATCCCCTGACGGCCAATTTGTCATTCTCAAAGTCACAAATTCGTAAAGACTAGCATCCTGGTCCGCGGTTCCGGTTTGGTTATTCTTCGGTCCACAAGTTTGCATCTCAAAATCAGGTTTACAATCACCATACTCGTCATTTGGATCCACCAACAAAAACCTCTCGGGGCATTCACATCTTGGCCTATGGTTATCTCCTAAAATACATATATTATTAAACCCACAAGCTAGATTCCCAAGCTCATTAGCATCAAGATACGGTCCAAATCTCTTTGCACATATATTCTCCGGTTCAGACCAAGCCAGAGACCATGCATTAGTACTATTATCAACCCCATGCCTCTTGGGATGATAGTACTGAGCCAAAACCCCGTCGAAATGTAGAACTGCACGGTGATAAAAGTCTTTGGACGGTACTGGATCTTTCTTGTTGACATAGAATCTCGTTGTATTGTCTATCATTACTACATACATGTAGCCTGTCTCGTTGAAAACCAATCTATTCCCGGGATTGTGAGGATCGTTGGTGTTACTTGAGTAGTACGGAAAGTATACATCTGTTTCTGCGAGCGTCTCGCTGTTGAGAGTAAGAAGCTGAAGATCTCCATCGTCACCTAAACGTAGCCTGAATCTTCCTTTCTGGAAGCTAGTCTCTTTCCGACGAGATGATAGATTCCCTCTAACTTCAATACTCTGCATCATCATCAATATACATCCGTACTGATTAAACGTTAGGTCAACTCTGAGATTACGTTTGCGTATACATAGTATATATTTTATACGTATAACAAGATTTTTTTAACGTTATTATCTTCATTAAAAAATATTTCTAAATTGCAAACACAAACACCAATCACTGCATGCAAAAAATGGAAGGAGAACCATATGTAATAATGTAACCAAGTAATTTACTTAAAGGTGTTACAGCAATATGTTCGTTTATCTATCTATACTATTAAAGCTGAAGTACAAAAAGTTAGTGTTTGGAAATATGAATAGGAATATTTAAAATTATGATGATTGGCAACAATGATAACTTACAAATCTAATGGGCTTGATTATTAAACTAAAGATTATTGCGGCCCAATGTACTATTATTGTTTTTGGGTTTTCTATCATGATATTACTTTATTTCTGAAAATTATTTATACATATATGTATTCATTTTAGTAATAGTTTATTTAGCCAAAAAAACTTTATAAACTATTGCTAAAATGTTTACGGGTCACAACATTTTACGACGCCCCTGTTACACAATACAGTGACAAAATACAATGTTTAAATAATATACTAATACTTAGTAAAATTGTAACCATTAAATTGTAATTTTGAAATGTTATATATACCATAAAAATAAAGACCCGCCCAGTCGGGCGGGTTATGATCTAGTTAATATTAAGCATATTGTCTTCAGAAAACATGAAGAAACCAAGAATACTTAAATAGAAAACACGAACAAAGTAAATACCAATTTTGAAAACCGGATGGCATATTGACTCGGTATATCTACTGGTTGACTGGTTGGACCGGTTCACCAGGGTTTTTAGAACTAATATGGTAAATACTCATTTTAAGATCTATATATTAGTTATGTAAATAAAGTGATTTACAATATTTTATATCCGTATTATAAATTTAAAAATTTAATATTCATTTTCTCTTTAGAAAAACTTCATTCACTGAAAGTGAATTCTAAAAAATATCAACACATAGTTATAGAAAGATCAATGTAAAACACACGCAAGAGTAAGCAAAAATTTGACGTACCAGCTGAGGTCTATGAGATATTAAAACTATATATCTATAGACTTACTTGAGTAGGTAACAGAGTGTCTGTGGGATTAGCGAAGCTAGACCATAAAACCACACCAGAGTCTTCGCCTAACAGACCGAAATCTCCGGCGTCTGTTATGAACCCTCGAGAAACAGAGCTCCTTGTCTGAGGAAGTGAAGAACTCCAGAGCTCCTGACCTCCAGGGCCAGTAAGGACAAGACCGCGATCTGCGGTTAATGTAACCTTGGAACCATCAGGGACTAGACCGGTGCTTGTGTTGACGGTTTGTGCATGCCACACAATAGTCTTGTCAGGAATCTTGTCGAACCATATGGAGACAGTGAAGCCATCGTTTGGTTTAATCTTGCGGAACCCAAAAGCAAATTCACCAGAAGGGGAAAGCCATGAACTGGAGAATTGTTGGGACTCTTGAGCGGTCAGAGACTCTCCGACAGGAACCGATCCGATGATGATGTTTTGAGATAAAACGACAAGTACTTGTAGTTGCAAAACCAGAACAAGTTGGAGTAACCAACAAGAGATAACGCTCATTTTGGTTCAGCAAAGATGTGGAGATGGTAAGAGTGTTTGTTTGTTTGTGTGGTGATATGTTTGTTACCACTCAAAACGTAGAAGAAGGGATAAGATGACTTTAGGGTTTTTTTTTTCTTTCTAAAAGTCAATGAAACAGATTTTGAATAGTCAGAGAAGTCTTCTCTTTATTTATTGGAACTTACTGAAAAATATATCACATACAAATGTCTCTTCTAAGTACATATATTCAAACACATGAGACCGGACCAGAAGAGAAGGTACTATAAGGAAAAGGGTTTGGAGGATCATGAACTTGAGCCACACCTTCAAGCATCTGAGTAACATGTCTCATGTTAGGTCTCATTTTTGGTTCTTCTTGTATACACCATATCCCTATTTTCACATATCTCTCCACCATCACCATGTCGTCAATGGCCTCCAAATCGTCTTTGATCAGATCATCCAAACTCCTATTTTGGTAACAATAGTACGCCCAATCAATGAGAATCACCTCATCTTCAAGATCGACGGCTTTCTTGCAGCACACGGTTTCCAAAAGCATTACTCCGTAGCTATAGACATCTACTTTGGATGTAATAGGGTTGTTCCTGAACCACTCAGGTGCAACATACCCTTTCGTTCCGCGGATGTTCGTGAGCGTATGTGTTTGGTTCATCATCAGAAGCTTTGCTAGACCGAAATCCGAAATTCTAGGGCTGTAAAACTCATCTAGAAGTATGTTTTGCGGTTTGATGTCACAATGTATGATTTGCTCGGTGCATTCTTCATGTAGATACAAGATTCCACGAGCAATCTCAATTGCTATTCTTCTTCTATCTTCCCAGCTCGGTCTCGGACGCCTGAAGAGAAAATCGGCTAGGGTTCCGTGCGGAATAAACTCGTAGACAATCATACGGCATTTTCCTTCGTTGCAGAACCCAATTAGCCTCACTAGGTTCTTGTGATGGATCTGACCAATCACTTTGACCTCATTCTTGAAATCTTTCTCGTTTTCTTGAGCCACACGGTCTAGTTTCTTGACAGCCACGGTGACTTCAGAATCATTACCAAGTTTTAAAAAACCTTTGTACACTATCCCAAATGCTCCTCTTCCAAGCTCTTCCATGAAATCTCCAGTAGCTTCTAAGAGCTCTCCGTATGTAAAGACTCTCAGATTCAACTCAACCGCAGTAGCTGAACCGATAACTCCACCTTGATTAGGGTTCTTCTTCGCCTTCTTAAACCTTCCGTACAACGCAAGGAATATGAAATTCACAAATGCTGAAGTTCCAAGCAAAACCGAACCAGCGATGATTAACCAGTCCTTGTCTTTCCCTCTATATCTATCACTAGGAGTATCCGTGGCAGCGCCTTTTAAAACCTTAATGAGTGTATAGCTATCACGTGTATCATAGTTCTGACCATTAGGAGATCTCTGACCATAAGACAAAGGAAACTTCTTGGCCCAACATACTCTATCGTCTCCAAAAACAACAGCAGCACAAAAACAATCGTCAAGACAAGCGTTTCTACACCTTTCTTCATCATAATCATTGTACATCTGGTAATCCCCGTACGGCCAATTCGTACGGTCTAGACGAATAAGCTCATAAGTATTGTTATTACGTTGTCCACACATCTGCATCTCGAAGTCCGCCTTGCAGTCACCATACTCATCATTAGCATCCAGCAACGAGAACCTCTCTGGACACTGACACTTTGGTCTCTGCGTGTCTTCCAAACTGCATATACTATTAAACCCACAAGCTACAGTCCCGACAGCTAGTTCGGAGATACTCCAACATATATTCTCCGGCACAACCCAAACCAACTCCCATCCATTACTACTCACTTGTCCTTTGGAATGAGAGTATAGAGCGAAAACTCCATCAAAATGTAGAACGGCACGGAGATAGACGTCTTTAGAAGGTAAGGGAACGTCTTTGATAGGGACTCTTGTTGAGTTGTCGCGAAGAACATATATGTTGCCTGACTGGTTGAAAACTAAACGAGTCCCAGGATTAGGTTCCTTTGTGTCGGTTTTGAAGTAGGGAAAGTATACATCTCTGTCCGCTAGCGTCTTGGAGTTGAGAACAAGAAGCTGAAGGTTTCCGTCATCGCCTAGATGTAGCCTGAATTTTCCTTTCTTGAAATTTGTCTCTCTCAGGCGAGATGAAAGATTCTTTCCGATCTCCATACTCTGCATACCAACAACATGCATACGTTTAAAAAATTAAAAAATAAAAACATACATACGTTTTATGTTGGCATATTCTGTCCCATACGTTTTATATAGACTTACAGTTACGAATCAAAGCTAAATCCAGTACCCTTGGCATAATATTTTTGAGAGAAAATATGTCAATATCTTATACATATTTTAGTTATACAATACAAAGTTTCATACTCTCTCCGTTTCATTTTAGTTATCGTTTTAGGTTTTTGCGTACAGATTAAGGAAACAATTAATTTTGGATGTTTTCAAAATAAAAACACATATCTATACACCTAACAAAATTGCAACCAATGAAAAAATAGAATGACATTTAAAATCAATAAATTATGCATTAAAATTATAAAATAATACTTATTTTGAAACAAAAATTTTATTCTAAAACGACATCTAATTTGAAACGGATGGAGTATTTGATTATATCCGGAATACACCTAAACTACTGAACAAGACCCGGTTTGAATACAAAAAAAAAATACCGGAATGGGTACCCTTTAACCCAAATATTCAAACATCCAAAATATTCTAACCAGGTCCAGTCGTCCACTATACTAAAATCAGTTGCTATAAATTGATTATTTCATCTTATCTTATTTACTACTTAGTATCCTTTGTAACTTAGTATACTAAGACCTTTTTAAGGTGTTTAATTTAATTTTTATATTTTTTTTAGGATCTGAGCTCTGATACCATGTTAGATATAGGTTTATTATGAACTTCCAACTTAAAGCCAATTGGTAATTAGTGGATTGACCTTAACCCTTTATATATTGTATATTAATTCTTATATTTCCGATATGGGATGTTTCTCATCAATACACCCTAACTAATAATGTTAAAACCACTGCCCTTTCTCTTCTTGCAGTAACCAATAAGAATATAGACTCACCTGAGTAGGCAACAGCGTGTCGGTGGGATGATCAAAGCTTGACCACAAAGGCACCTTGGAATCTTGGCTGAACAAACTAAATTTTCCGGCGTCGGTTATGAGCCCTCGAGAAACAGAGCCACTGCTCGTAGGAAGAGAAGAACTCCAATGCTGATGACCCCGAGGGTCAGTGAGAACCAAACCGCGATCTGCGGTTAGTGTTACCTTCGAACCAGCAGGGACAAGGCCAGTGGTTGTGCTGACTTCTTGTGCGTGCCAGACGATGGTTTTGTTGGGAATCTTGTCGAACCATATGGAGAGAGTGAAACCATCGTTTGGTATGATCTTGCGGAACCCTAAAGCAAAGTCACCTGAAGGGGATCGCCATGTACTAGAGAATTGTTGGGACTCTGAAGCTGAGAGAGATTCTCCGACAGGAACGGATCCGTTGATGATGTTTTGAGACAAAACGACAAGTGTTTGTAGTTGCAGAAGAAGAAAAAGATGGATTATCGACCAGGGAAGGAATCCCATTTTGCTTATCGAATGATGTTGTGAATGTGATTATGTGTGTTTACATATATATATAGTTAGGTTTAAGTTGATTTGTTCGTTACTAATGAACGTATAAAAGGAGTCAAGAAGAATGTTTTATTCCTTTAAGTCAATGATAAGATCATAAAGAGTCAATATAGTCTTTCCTCCATACAATTCTGAAGATGTGGTCTATAGTCATTTGACGTGTATAAGAAACACAGTACAAGTGTGGTTGTATTTTTTTTTTTTTTTGAAAGAATGTTAAATTAATTTACAAGTGTGGTTGTATGTTAATTAGGAAAAGACATTTTTGAGTTTTGAACGTAAAAGACTTTTCTTTCCTTTCGTTTGGCTTTAAGATGACAAAAAGCCACGATAATTAATTTTTAATAAATTGAGATTTTACTTGAATCTCAAACTAATACTTATGCTTTATAGTTCAGTCTGGTTAGTTCAACTGAAAAATAAACAAAGAAAAAATGTAAACTTAGAGCTAAATGAACTTGAAAAAGTTTTGACCATTTAATTTTCTTTTAACTATGAATTTTGATCGTAAAAATCTACAACCACAGTGATTACCAATCATTCTTGTGATAGTTTTATTTCAAAGCTAAATGCAAATCCCAAATGAAAATAAATGTTTTCTATATACCAAATAACAAAGTCGGTTACGTCTAATATGTATGCTAAAGTTTGATTGTTTTCTACTTATTTGTACAACTTTTTCCTTTTTTACTCAAAAACAATAGTAGTGATAATCTTTTGCCACGCGGTACCATGCCATGACAACTTTAAAGGGCACCATAATGAGTTGATTTTTTTTCTTTATAATGAGTTAATTTACAGTCAGAGTAAATTTGAGAAATTTCGAATATCAGACTTTTGTAAATTCATAAACCTATTGAGCACATTTACGAAAAATAGGACACTGATAAATTGCTTTCACGCATTTATGCCACAATAAAAGGAAAAACATCAATACATCACTCATCAGCAATCATCATACAACGATATGAGTCATTGTTCTCAAGACGCAGTAAATCTAGTGATAGAGTACGTACGTTCTTGATATTGTAATTCCGTCATTACATATGAAAGTTTATATGGTAGCTAAAACATATATCAATAGTTATAAAGAGTAGAGTCCAAAAATGCTGATATATATTATGAAAATATTAAACATTAATTAATTATCTTGTTATACTTAGATAATTCTACTCATTCGTCGTTGGAGGTAACATCCAAGCCGGGAGAAGAGAGTTTGGTTCCGTCAACGACGATGCACCTCCGTTCTCTCCCCCAACTCTCCCCACAAAGCCATCTCTGCCCATTTAATATTTAATGAATCAGATCTTTCATAGCTAGTGTATATATTACACAATTAATCAAACCATGAAGTTAATTTGGATCAATTTCAAATACTACTGAAAAAGAGAGGAGACCTGGAGGACGTCATGCAATACTGGGGCTGAAGAACTGAAGAATTGTTGGAGCTTTGGATTAATTGCCCTTCTTGCTGACCCGTGTTCTTCTCCCTCTCCTTAATCTATCATATTATAAATTTTGTCGTTTGTTAATAGGAATAATTAATACTAAATATGTAAGAATCGATACTAATGAGTATTATACATTCTGTACAAGTATAAACATAACCACTTTGAAGTTTACAAGTATAAAGTTAAATATAGTACTCATAATAAAAGCAATATATAATTATGTATTTGTATGTTTTATCAAGGTTCTAAATATTAGGTCAATTAATCAACAAACTGTATAATAAAGTTCTACAACATTTTTTGTGATCTGTTGGATTATACTGAAAATATAAAAGTTTATACACAAATCGGCAAAAGAACACATTCATTCTACTACACATAAGTCGGTAAGAATCGCTATCATTCTTGAACCGGATGAAACTATAAAGATATGGAAAAAACGAAGAGATGAAATACTAAAACTTAAACCGAGAATAAAATTTTACAGCTAATCGATGCTTAATTAGTTGGCTGCATCAAAAAGTAAAAATGATTGTCTTATAAATGCCTATATAGCTATGTTTTTAATATTGGTATTTATTAGAAACACTAATAATAAATAAATAATCACTATTAATGCCAAACTTATATTAGAAAACTACTAATAAATAATCACATCTATTTTGACATAATAGTAAACCATTTAAAAATGTATTGTAAGCACTACTAACATAGAATACATTTCTGTACATGTATATATGAATATCATTATTGCTAAAAATTGTAGACAATGTACATCGTAAATAAATTTAATTGCATATGTTTGCTCCAATATATTCTTATTTTATACAAATATATAGTTAAAATGTTTTTTTTTGTCAGCAATATAGATAATATAATCTTTAGATGTAAAATTTGATGAGGTACTGGGATAACATACTAATGTAAGTTATTTCATTCCGCAACTTTTAATCCCGTTTTGATTCAAATATAACCATTTAGCTAAAAAAATTGTACTAACCTTTTTGAGAAGCGTATTGTTGTGATCTTGCAAAGCCTTGTCCTGATATATTTAAATAAACAAGTTAAGTTATATATAAAAATGAATAATTTTGATGATGTACTAATTGCGACACTTTACCTTCTTCTGAAGCGCTGATATGGATTCGAACATAGCTTGGTTCTGCAAATATTTCAAATTCATTAAACAATATCACCATCACTAATTTCAGCTCCACTTCATAGCCAAACTTACATTCATATTTAGCGGTATGTATCAACGTTCTCATAATTACCTTTCTTGACCTGATGCTCTTGATAGCAGCATCGAGCTGATGCTCCAAGCTTTGAAGCTCTTTTAGGCTCAACGAATCAAGATCTTCCCCCATAAAATTCCTGTACATTTTCAATTTTTTTATTACTAATTATATAAGCAATGTACTTGTTATATTACCGAGATACCTTTGTGATCATCAAGTTAATTTCCTTACAGAAAATAAACATTGTGAGGATCCAAGACATAGCAAGTTCCCCCCTTAACTTATGTGTTATGTATTAGAATTTCTTACTGTTAGGACTTAGGATGCAAGTTGAATACATCAAAAGTGTACGTTTAATTGCGATTTGATTAAAGCACAGATAGCTTTGCAATCTTAGTTGACATTATGGTACTACATATGTATTTATAATAGAGTTTTCTTTATAATATACCTTTTATTCTTCTCAAGCACCTCAACTCTTGCCTTGAGCTTAGCATGCTCTAGAACCCAATTTTCCTACAACATTAATTGATATACGATAGACACTAGTTTCTAGAAAAATATATATAATTGAGCAAGACTAATAAACGTAAACATCTAGGAGAAAAACAAAGCTTAAAACTTACACTCTGCGAAATTTCTCGGCCAACAAGTTGTTTGTCTGAATATAAATAGCGATCATAGCGTTCAAGTATCCTTTCCATGCTATATTTTAAGAAAAAAAATCAAAATATACTTCATTAATTCGATCCATGTATATAAAATTATACTTCACAATCACACGACTTAACATTATAGTTTGTCACAAAAGTGTTAGCCAAAAGCTTACATTGTTTGGTATGCTGACAAAAAATCGCTAAAAGTTAGCATATAACACAAAAATGTATATAAAACCTGGTTCTGGCGAGTCCACAAAGCATCATAGAAAACATACGTACAAATCCAATGTCACGTTTTGAGTTTCCCTCGTGACTCGGTTATCAAAGCAAACGGTATGATATATATGTATATGATCGTACAAACAATTATATGTACACTTTAACTAAAAAAAGCCATATGTACGCACCCAAAATGCATTTATATCAGTACGAACTTACATATATGTCGAACGTTATGCTATTGTCCATTGAGTTTAAGCATGCACACATCACTGTAAATGCTTATTACATCGTTTCAAATCAATCTTTCTTTCAATTGTAAGTTCTTATTAATTAAGGTATTATACAAGCTATATTCTCGTACAAGCCTGTGTACTAAGTATCATAATTTCATGCTATTTTCATTTGGGTAAAGCAAGGAAAAATAAACATAAACAGCTTTTTCATGCGTCCGTATGTAAAAATCCCCAAAAAAAACCCTAATTTCTCGAGCCACTTCTTAGGGAACAAACAAATCTACAGTAGATATGCAGCATACAAGGACAAGATTAGGATTTATTTTCAAGGCCGAGGAAGATCTAGATCGAGACGTACAAATATAAAACAAATCTTATTAAAAATCAAGAAAGCAGATGAATAAGATCGATGTGAATATATAATATAATATATGGTTTTATGAATGAAACTAAAAGATAATAGTTACCTAGAGTCAGTGGAATATTCGAAGAGTTTTCCTTTGGAAGAGAAGACAACGAGAGCAACCTCAGCATCGCAGAGCACAGAGATCTCATGAGCTTTCTTGAGCAAACCAGACCTTCTCTTTGAGAAAGTAACTTGCCGATTGATCTTGTTCTCTATCCTCTTCAGCTGAACCCTACCCCTTCCCATCTCTCTATCTTCTTCTCTCTCCTTAAAATTTCAAGAACAAGAGAGAGAAACGACAACCCTGAAATGACCAAAGTATATATCCCTCTCTTTCTTTGCTATGTCTATCTTGGTATCTTTTGCGTTAAATATGGTAAATTTTTATTTTCATTTATTTATTTTTTGTGTAGACTTTTGTTTGGGTTCCGCGTGAGTGTGCAGTGGCGTAAGGATGTGAACAGTGACGTAAGTGATGTGGTATAGATACGGTATGTTGATGTGAATACATGGATGATGACATTTGTGGAAATAGAGCGAAAAAAACACATAGGGAGTGGAAGAGACCAGAGTGGGGATAAAGTAAAGGGCTGTTTGGTAACTAAACCATATGATGCATTGTCGAGTTCTCATAGGTTGTTTATTTCTGTAATAACAATAACTTGTTCTTTAGTTTTGTGCCTCCCCGTTGGCTAACGTTGTTTCCGTACCGTACGGACTTTTTTCTTGCAATTGATTGCTTTTAAGGTTAAGAAAAAACATATCAGGAACTCAAATCTTAATGGGTATTAAACGAAAAAAATAAATGTAATTCCTTATATGTTCCCCAGTAAAACTATATATGGTCAACTAATGTTTCAATTGTAAATTTTATTTTCGTCAAAAAATGTAAATTTTGTTTGGTAATTATAAATTTTCCTTTCAATCTATTT